AGTTACGTATTGCTACCACGATTATGTAATAGCCGAGATATTTATTTCAATAATTACTCAAACAATAATAGAAAACAATTTATCAAACTAATAACTTGGCAAAGTTACAAGAATTTTTCATCACAAAGCTAACAAAAATTAAACCGGAATTAATGGAGACATTTGAAATAATGATTATATCGCAACAGAAGCGAATATAAATTGTGCTCGTTAATGATTTGTTTTACTTGCAGCTTGCTTATTATAGTTCGTTTATCGAGATCCAATTATTAAATTCCCCAAAAGCGAATTAATTGAACATTACAGATTAAAATAATTAGTTTCGTAATTTCAAGCACAACATACCGTGCGTCTGGAAAAGTGGCCTCACCCTTGCACCAGTGAGTTTTTTCTGTGCTAAAAAACGAATTTAGTAAGGTATATTATAAATTAGGATTGATTGATGTATCTATTCAATTGTTTTCGGTCACTTCCTGTTTCACCGGAAATGACGACAGCTTTTGAATTTAAATGGCGCTTTCGGTATTTCTCTTTAATTTATAACTTGATGTTCGGAACGAAAATTTGACCTCGAAATATACCAAGCGTGTGGTATCAAATTATTGGTAAAAAATGTTTTTTTTTTTTTAATATGCTAATGAACCATCTCCATTCCATTTGAAAAAAATTGAGATATGATTAAAATACGATTTGGGTATCTTCTAACCGGCCAGGACAAGACGCTAAAAACATTAGAAGATTAAATCTGTATTTAAGTAAATCTTAAATCGCAACCAGCCTTTTGATTAAGAATTAGTGTTTTTATTAAGCGAGTAAAGTCGCAAAGTTGACATATGATATATCATCTCTATTCAGAATGTCATTTTCTATTGAATATAAGTAAAAAATACTGAGGGTGCTATTTAAAATCAAAAGTTGTGATCATTTTGAAATATAGGTGACCAACAACAATTGAATATGTTAATCAATCCTAATTATGTCATATACTAACCAAATCTGTTTTTTATCTGATAAAATCAAAAGTTATGGTCAAGCCACCTTTGAGACGCACCTGGTATAATTCTGGTTATTAAATAATAAGGATAGAAATAATATTAATGCATACAGGTTCCCAAATACCAATACTTTAAAGTATATCGTTAAAATTTGGAAACATGCATAAAAATTCGTCGAACTTGCTGACCTGTTGTTGTCTAACATTCATATTCACATTCGCAACTATTTTGCTGTCAAAGACTCCACCTATACTATATCTAGGAGAAGTGTAGGGATTCACAAAGATTATACAGAAAAATAAAAGAGGTTTCAAAAATGTATTGTCAAGTTGTGTGTGGCGACATCTTTCGGAGAAGCGAATAATCGCGAACGTGTATTGCTGGTTGAGGTTTCATCTTTAATACAGGACATTGTTTGAAGCGCCTCTTGGACTCAAGTGGAAATAGGATCTTGTAAAGAATTTTATCCAAAAAGAATGCCGCAGATAATTTTCGTACGTTCGAGACGCGGCCACTGGGAGGTATATAAGCGCAAACGCGCCCAGCAATTATTTAGTTCAGCTCGAAATATACCGAAAAAAGTTACAGGTAGATTTGACAGACGATGACAGGTATGAAAAGCAGATGATCTATTTATTTTATTTATAAAAAGTTTTTTATTTAATTTTAAGTTAACTCAGTGGATAAATAGAATATAACGCCATGCGTTACTTGTTGTTTTAAACGGTTTGCCGGTTTATATTAAAATGATGACTGATTAATTTATTTTGGTTTGACGGAACGATAAACGACAAAACGGACGCCGATGCGTATGAACTCGCCTTTAGATTTTGACGTTTGTCAAAGTCTTGCCAAATTATAAGTTAATTTTGTGACAACTTTTGTCAAATACCCTGCGTTTTGGAAGATGATGCATTTTGACTGTGTTTTTACGAGTGTTTTGTGTCTTTGTGTCAAGTGGAAAAATGGAGTGAAAATTAACTGTAGAACCCAGAGCACAGGTTATGGAGTTAATAGTCGCTGCCCAGGCAGAAAGTCTTATACAGATACAATTCAATAAAATTAATATCAATAAAGTTCGTATACCATCACGTCGTAGATAAGTGCATCTCAATATGGTAGAAGGACCATACTAAACACATACTAAAAACTGAGTAGCTGTAAAATAAATATCGACATCACACGATAGGTAAATAATGGATTTTAGTACTGTAGAAAATAATGTCAAAAGGTTCGGTTTAAAAATTAAGATTAAAGTTAATTAATCGACCTGTGAGGTATAAAATTTGGTAAGTGTTATTATTAATAAAATAGTTCGTTTTATTTATAAAAGTTGTTTTATTTTATTCCTGTGAATATTATAAATTTGGTATTGTACATAAGTTATATTGATAAATATAATAATCATAAATGCAGGAAGTTTCATAAAGTTGAAAGTAAGAAATAGTTCTTTTATATTTTTGGTATGTGGTGTCTTGTTTTGTGTGTGTTTTGTATTAACACATGCAGTTTTTATTAAATAAAATAACTCGATTACATTTTTTCTCAGTTTTATACAGTTTTATTCACAATATTTGTGTTACTTGTCAGTCAAATTTTAAAACATATATTAATTTCCCAGTTATGTTCCAGTTGTACCAACTTATTTTATAAATAAAATAAACTACTTTTGGATTAAAATGGCAGACACATCTATCACTGTCAAGGATCTTCTGGACATACTATACGGTTAGTTTTGGAATAGCAAATGTTGACAATTTGGCAAAGGATTTTTAAATAGTTAATTGTTGTAATGAATATAAATTGTGTGTAATAGTGAGAAAATAACCGTTAAGTATTTCATCGTGAGTTTAAATTAGTGCACCCACAGAATCCGTAACAGAATTATTTCATTGTTATGTAAAAACTTAAAAAATAAGACAATTTAATCTGATTATTATAGCAAAATAAAGACAAATTACCTCTGGGATCGCCTCGCATGTCTCCTCCGGGTATCTGGCGGATCTGTTCGCGAGGGTCCAGCTGTCTCGGGTCGAGGCCAGAAGCTGCAGCTACTGCTCTCATATCAGGGCGCAGGGTGTCCATCGTAACCGCGGCCGCCGCAGCTGCTGTAGCTCTAGGATCAGCTGCGGCACGTGGATCGCCCCATCCGGAAGCGTTACCACCAGCTGTAACAAGAATAGTATATTTAATTGAATCCTGATTTGTACAGTGTTACTATTTTATTTTGTCTCACTTTAAACAGGCCGTTAACATTTTTTCATTTTTTAAAGCTAGAATAATCATTAACAGCGCTTTCAAATGGAGAGGACCGTCCGCGACGGAGCGTCCGCGACGGAGCGTCCGCGACTTCGAGCAAGTACCATGAGTATATATGAACAATTTCACATGGGCGCGTATGCTCCGTCCGGAGCTATCTTGAAAAAACACGACGGACGGTCCGCTCCATCTGAAAGCGCTGTAAGATCAATTTAAAGTCTGTCCAACGATAGGATAGAAGGATTTTTTTACGACAAGAGTGAAGGAAGAATTTAATTTACAGGTAAACTGAATTTTCTACCACTTTGTGGATGCCGTCTGTCAAAATCTTCCTTGCTTCCTTGGCCAGACCTTATAGGGTTTTGGCTTAATAAAAGAATTAAATAAATTTTAAAACTAGTGTTCTGAAAAGACCTATATATCAAGTTTCTAGTTTTTTTCCATCTACATCTAGGCTTTAAAACATCAAACGACATAACTGTCAAAAATGGGATGTCATACATAGATAAATATTTAGATTGAAAATATAGAGAAATAAATTTAGATTGAAAACCCATCAAAATATATAATTGTTTTGGGTCGCGACCGTTGTACGCGATCTGGCGTTGCTATAGCGGTTGCTAAGAACAACCACAAACAATAACACAAATAATTTTTCTCTCTTGTCAAAGTCGGAATCTTCAAAATTATAAAATCTTTCAAAATGTAAACCGACTTTCGAAAAATACCGAAAGTGTTTGAAGTGTCCATTCTCACAGTAATTATTGCTATCTTGTGAGTTTAGTTTAAATTTTACTTACTCAAACCAGTGATAATTGTGAAAAAGTGGCATTAAAAACTAAAAAATAGTGTGGTGAACTGTGAACTGCAAAACCATCGTGGATCGTGGAATAACGCCTGTTTCCAATGTTTCATAGGTATAGTCTGTAAAACGAATAACTTTGAATTTGACAGTTCCCGCGGGCTTTTCTAGTGTTAATTTTATTAGGTTAGCAACTTGCGGCTATGCTGACGCAATGCCGTCTCTAATAGAACAGCCTCGGAGCGAGATTTATGACGTCACGCTAGTTACAGTTGGGTCAACGGATCTTTGCGTGCACGTCACAAAACTATGATTAACATCAAATCAATTCCCTTTTATACGCTCTCTTTCTAACTTAAGCAAGACAATTCGAAGAAATACTGAACGTATGTCTTCATAGTTATCCGACATACGGTCCGAGCTAAAGTTATGTGTAAGACAAGGAAAACCCCTAGCCAAGGATCACTCAAGTTTCTTTTCTAAACATTTAAAGTCAATGCCGGCGAACGCAAAAATAAATCGATTATTTATTTCGGGTTCGTTTTAAAAAAGAAAATTTTTTTTTAATTAAATTTAGTATATTTTTTTAATAAAGGTACACTGGTGTTCACTTCATACTAACTTCATTTGCATTTATAATTCTTGTTTTTATTTTTATAAGGATCCAAGAATCACATCCTATTAAAATAAAGACAGCTTTTCCTTTATAATTTCCTAAAAAAGTAACTTGTACTACAATTTAGTACATTTTGTGGAGACGTGCGTACATCTGTAAAACCCTGGCAGCATCCATGCATGACATTTTTGTCATTCGGTGTTTATGTTTATGATTTTGTCATTTTGTCAAAAAGTTAGGGAAAGTTGTTTTGTATCTTTTATTTTCTTTGGACATCGTTTATTGACTATTTTTGTGAAAACTTTTGTGATTTAACAACAGTTCTTCCAAAATTTATTTTTCGTGATTCGTTAATATAATTTAACATTAACATTGAAATGCCAGGAAAACGTTTAAATTCTCAAGCACGTATCCTTGTTGGAAATCTTATCTCTTATTTTACGTCTGAAAAAGAGAATAAGGGGCCACTAATTTCCCTGAATGCTGTTCAAGAGGTAAATATATATTTTGGATTTATAAAAATACATGCCTAACTAATAAATTTACAGAGAGTTGCTGATGCCTTGAAGATCAGTCTAAGAACGGTTTCAAGCATTAAAATGTCTAAAGATCGAAATGAGCTACCCTCAACACCGGGAAAGAACAGACCTCGAAAATGTAAAACCTAAGACTTGAATGAAGGTTTGAAGATGGAGGTTCGCAATATTCTGTATGACTTGTATGCACAAAAGTGTTCAATATTATTTTTACTGAACTATTTTACTAAATTTATATTTTCAGAGAAACAAGTTACAATTAATAAACTAAACGAGGAGTTGCGTCGCAGAGAAATTGTTGACATAAGTTATGGAAGTCTTCGAACACTCCTTTTTAGTTTGGGATTTAAATACAAAAAGGATGATAACAGACGAGCATTAATGGAGACATCCAATATAGCTTCTATGAGAGCAGCCTTTTTCAGAAAATACATGGAAAACAAAAATTCGCAATTTCCTCGTCAACTCGTATTTTTAGATGAAACGTGGATCTTTTCCAAAGGCAGTAAAATGAGATCATGGCAGGATGATAGTGTTAAGAGTGTTCGTAAGCCAGGTGGTTTTGATGGCAAACGTTTCATTGTATTGCATGCCGGACACTGTGGAGGGTTTGTTAAAAATGCTGGTTTAATTTTTGCTTCAAAATCTAAGAAAATGGATTATCATGGGGAAATGAATGCAGAAATGTTTACAAAGTGGGTAGAAAACCAGCTCATCCCAAATTTAGAAGAACCTTCCCTTATTGTAATGGATAATGCTCCATACCATTCTGTTGAGTTAGAGAGACAGCCATCATCCTCATGGAAGAAATATGAAATTGTTGAGTGGTTGGAGAAAAGTAATATACCTTATGATAAAAAAAAAAAAAAAAAAAAAAAAAAAAAAAAAAAAAAATTCAAAAAACAAAACAATATAAAATAGATAATTATTACAAGAAAATGGTCATGAAGTATTAAGATTACCACCTTACCATTGCCAGTTTAATGCAATTGAAATGATATGGGCAGATTCAAAATATTTTTACAATGCCCACATTGGTGAAAATGGACATAAAGATGAAAATGTGCTAGATATGTGGAGAAAAGCATTAGAGAAATGTACACCAGAAATATGGCATGCTAAGGTGGTTCACACTGAAAAATTAATCGAAGACTGGTATGATAGGGAAGTCATTATTGAAGAAGTACCCCAAATGTTTATCAATGTCAGTGATGAGGAAAGTTCAGAAGATAGTGAGAGTGGGGAGAACTAAAGTGGACTACGTAATATTTTCTCAAATTTTTAATTTAAATACTATCCATGCTATTTTTAAACAAATAATTGTACTGATCCAAGTTACTTGTAAAATTAATAAATTATTTTTCATTTTCATTAAATTTATTATCTGTTGATGTATTATTTAACAAAATATTTAGACTTTTTGTTTTAACTTACTTTCTATATTAGTAATTTGGGTAAATCTGTAAAGGATATCTAATACTGTATAGAACTTGATTTCAATATATTAGTTAACAACTCAATATTTCGATCACCAATTATTGTCCTCTTGTAACAACTATCCTATTGAATTATACTGTATAGGCATACTATTGTTCTGTATTTTCCCCTTTTTATGACCTTTTTCCATAAACAATTATTTATTCTAATTTTAAAACGTCCAAAAACTTTACAAATATTTTGGAAAAAAGAAATTATTATTTCTTTTAAGTATGAAATAAAATGCCGCTGGCACTGGTGGTAGTTTGACGACTGATTGATTCGTATGACGTTAGGTGACATCAGATTATGACGTGCACGCAAAGATCCATTGATCCAACTTTATATTAAGGATTATTGGTCATGTTAGAATACATGGAAATTATTCCCTCGTGTTTTTTTTGGTATTTTAAAATGATAGTTTACATGAAATATATATACAGTTACGAATACACATATATATACTATAGTAATAAACACTTTTGGCAGATAAATTATGACCCATACAAATGCAGCAATGTTTTGCATAATATGGTTGAAATCGTACTACATAGTCAATGTAGATAGTTTTTGTGTTAAGAATAATAATTTAAAAAATATGTGGTCATCTTGTGACAGTTTATATTAGTTTATTAATTGCAGGAAACATTATAATATATAAATTTTGTGAATGCAATAATAATACATACATCACTATAGTAAATATTGAATGTTTTTGTTAAATTAGATCGATTTTCAAACCCCCAAAATTTAAGATATATTTTACATTTTATCCATTATCTTATGTACCACCTATTCATTATTTAGTATTGTAAAACATTTGCTGCATTTGTATGGTTCATAGTTTATTTGCTAAAGTATACTTTACTTATATATAAGTATAAAGCATTTGCCTACTATAAATAGGTATATATTATATTGTATTTATTAACTGTATATTACATATTTCATGTAAACTATATCATTTTTAAAATACAAACCAAAAAATAAGGAATAATTATTTTTTCCATACCACAACATATTTATTAACTGGGCAGTATCTAATTAGCGTGACGTCATAAATCACGCTCCGTGGCTGTTCTATTAGAGACGGCATTGTTTCAATATTTGTGAAATGTCAAAAGCTGATGACATTTTACTTTGTCAATTATGACATTTCGTGTTGATTTTTGCAAGAAGGGAAGAACTCTCACTTTTTTATTTTTTCCTTTCTATTCGGAAAAGTAAAAAGAGTTTACCTATCTGATTCGTTCGGCACTCAATTTAAAAGAATATCAGTAACTTTTTTGTTAGAGGGATTTTATAATCTGCCATGTTTTGGTAAAAAATAAGCGGTCAAAATTCAAAGTTATTCATTTTATTAGACTATATTTCATACATGTCCCTTATATAAAAATAAAGTTTCTTGTATGCAACACACTGTATTTTATTTACAAAATTAAAAGAAAATAATAATAAATTTGAATAAACAATATTTGGCGACATAATTCCGGAAAAAGCCCATCCGATCCGAAATTATCAAAAGCTTTGGGTAGCGACCGTTGCAAGAATAGCGCCAAATAGTATTTACATTGTCCTTATGGGCACTTTTCCAATCTAAACTTGTTTCATTTGTCTATGATCTGATGTCGATGTCGATTCCGTCCGTAATGCTTGTATTAAACTCCTTTATATCTTTTTATTCAAAGTCTCGTTAGAAAGATTATACAGAAACTATCATATACATATTCTTAAACCATTACTCTTACGCTTACCTCCCCACATAGCATTGTTGCTATTGTTGCCTCCCCACTGTTGCTGGTTATTAGGCACTCCCGTCCACACGTTCGAGCTATCAGTGGCGTCGTCGTCCTCTCCCCACGTGCCCCCAATGTTGGAGGCGGGCGTGTGGCCCCAGGGTGTCTTTTGCTGAGGCGGCGGAGGCGGTTGACCACCGTTGCGCAGGTTGGCCTCCCACAGGTCGGTGCCGTTGTTCACGGCCGGCTTCCAGGTGGGAGGGCCGGCGCCTTCCATCTTCATGGAAGGTTCGGGACTAGCGGGGATGTCCCAGTTCGTGTCTTGGTTCACGTGTTGCTGAAATAATGATTGTATATAAATATCAACACTTGTACATTCTACTAATTTTCTTCTTGTTATTTTTGATGATAGATCTGGTGATCTAGGCCCTTATTCTACAAAACGGTGAAAAATTCACCATTTGGTGTCCATTTTGGTATTTTTGAAATATGTATTTAGAATTTTTGGAAGGAAGTACCGAGTGCGTCTCAAAAATAGCCCACCCCTATAACTTTGCTATTTTTTCAGATAAAAAAAAACGAGATTTGGTATGTTAGTATATGACATAAATTAGGATTGATTGACGATTTAATCATTGTTTTTGGTCACTTCCTGTTTCTCCGGAAATGACTACGACTTTTGATTTTTAAATGGCACCCTAGATATATTTTTACTTTATTCGGTAGAATATGACACTCTGAATAGAATGACATATCATACGTCAATCAATTCTAATTTATGTCATATACTAACATACCATACTCGTTTTTTTAACTGAAAAAATAAAAATGTTATAGGGGTGAGCCACTTTTGAGACGCACCCGGTATAGGAGCATAAAAAATATTAAAGTGCATTATTACATTAAACAATAAATTTGCTTTTGCCAGAAATTTCTTGCGCGAAAAAACCTAAAAGCAAAGATTTTAGGACAAAAAAACTATGGCGGAGGTCGACATTGTTGATGGTTGTTTTCATTTTGAACTCTACACACAAACATAGACTATTTTAGTTTGGTATTTTGTTTCTTCACATTTAGAAACAGTGGCTCCTGAAAACGGGAACATCTTGAACACAAATTCCAGAAAATATTTCGAAACATTTCCTCTAAAAGTTTTGATTCCGCATCGAAACATTTCAGAAAACAGCTAGTGCCACCATATTGGAAACACATGTAATAAAGCCATATAAAATATATAGGTTTCGAAAATGTTTCCTATTTGTGGCATACCGTTTCCATTTTGTCTCAAGAAACAGACACGATAATTTTAGAAACATTACCTAAAATATGTCCAAAAATGCTACTTGGGATATAGTACAAAATGATGAAAAAAAAAACGGCGTCAGAGATGGCTATGAAATGAAGATCGCTGTCACTTTGTATGTAAAATTATATGGAGAATGTCATCCATGTCCATTTCCCAGCCAACTGGGCCCGGTTTTTCGTTTTCATCATACGGTACGTTAAAAAATAACAAGACAATACTTACGCCACCCCATCCGTCCTGGCTGAATATGGCCTCGCGCATATTGTTCAGTTGCTCGAGCTGTTGTTTGGTGGTGTTGGTGGCGTTGTTCGGCGTGGTATTGTTCGGGGTGTTGTTGTTGGAGGCCGGGGCCGCCGAAGTTGGCGGCCCATTAGTGCCGGCCACGGCCGGTTTTGACCCGGCCTGCGGCCACACCGAGTTGTTCGATTGCGTCGTGGGGGGTTGTTGGCCGTTGGCATTGTTCTTGTTAGCTGAAAATAAAAACTTTTTTTAATATATTTGTTTATACTAAATGAAAATTTGGTATGTCATTCAAAACACCGCTAATTATGTGTCCGTTTACGATTCAGTTTGACAACGCTGCGCAGCGAAACAATTTAACACTCGGTCGACAAATAGAACACACGCATTTCATCTAAATTCGACAGAAGACGATACCTAAAAAATGACAAAAAATACAATTTACCCTTGAATTAAAATGATGACAACCAACTGTCACTGTCTTATATCCTCGAGTTAGACAGACTACTCTATTTTGGCGAAATAAACGACATTAAAAGTAAAAAATTGGCACCGGGAGGCACGTATAGCCGCCCATACTAAAATATGTTAATAAAAAGTTAGTAGGCAATTCTTTTAGTTTCAAAGTAAAGGAATTTTTTAATTTTTTTTATCTCAAACCTGCGACTTTGGCTGATTTTGATGATATTACAAATTTTGTTGCAAATTGAAAACCGCATTTCGCTAGCTACTGTAATTTTGGAGTTACGATTTTTTATAATTTTTAACCCCATCCCATAGCCAACCATACCTAATACCTATTGGTATGGACGGCTAAAAAGGTAAATATATAAGATGAAGTCCATGTCACATTGGATTTTTTAATTCACTGACTTACGTCAAATTTTGTCTTGGCGTTAATTTCTCATAGTCTACTTATTGTGTTACAAAAAAGTTTAGACAAAAATGCTAATCAAATTAAAAAGAAAGTATTATAGAACTATTATATCTAAACAACTTACTTATGGCGGGCCAGATTACTTCAGTTGAGAAATTAGAAAAAATATTTAGGAATGATTTATTATCTGGATAATTGGGAAGGTTATACAAAGTTTACACTACGCAAGCAATTTTTTTAAAGCAAAATTTAACTTCTAATAAAAACTATTAACTTTAACTTTTTCAAAATATTTAAATATACCATCATGGACACTTAATTTGCGTGGTCTGTATTTTAACGCATGCGATAATGATAAAGATAGACAGACGAAACAAAATAAAAAGCGGCACACAGTGTTGCCGGTTTTTACCTACGAAGAAAAATGTGTGTAGAAAAAAAAAGCTATTTTAAAAACTTCCATTTATACTATTGAAACGAAAATAATATATCTAACAAAATAGCAAAATAAAACACTATATTACCACACTACACCAAAACACTTTTACTTTTACACTGGACGCGCGTTTCGCTAACCATGTTAGCGTCATCAGCAGATGATTAAGACTGTCGGAGTCCAACCCCAACTGTAATAATATATCTAAGCTAAATATAATCTATTACAGCTGTAGTAAAATGAGTAAATAGTTGTGAAAAGTAAAGTTCCAGTCCTAGATGCAACATTTTTCATAAACGCCTTCTTGTGCGGTTAGAAATGATGCAAAATCCGGCAATACCGCAAAGAAGAAATGTATCAACCCAACTTTTATCTCTTTTTAAAACATTTGATTTTCCATTAAGCTGTTTACATAACTGTCATACACGTTAAATTCCAGACTACGCTTTTACGATGATCAGAATGGTCTATGAGTACTAAATAAATATATGACTTGACTGAAAAAACGGACTGCAATCAGATAATTTTGCATCTACCACGATAGTCAGCTGCAATTGGCAAAAAACGACGAAATTTTTAAACTTGGAGGCTGAAAATAGGTATTCTTATGTAAAATCAAAAAAGAAACAAGTTTTTCAAAACTAGCCATAAATCTCATTTTTTGGCAATTTACTTTTTTAAATGTCAAATATGACAGATACCCGCGAGCAACAAGATTATCATCATCTCAGCTTATTCAACCATTTCCAATTATGGTGTAGCATCCCTCACATATTTAGATACTCTCTTTGTAGTTGGGCTCATTGTTGTCTATGTGGGCCCAAGTTACCCTGCTAATTTCCAAATATCATGGTCCATCTCAGGTGCGGTCTTCTTCTAGGTCTCTTAATTCCTGGTTGGCAGCATGCTGTAATTTTTATGGTCCATCTGTTGTCCGTTCTTCTTGCCATGTGTCCTGCCCATTGTCAATTGAGGGATTTGACTCTGTGAATGACCTGGGTCTTTTCCACTCTATTCTTTTACGGTCTCTCTTGGTTATTACCAGCATATTTTGTTCCATTGAGCGTTGTGCGACCTGCAGTTTCCTTATGATGTCCGCTTTAAGTGTCCAGGTTTCGCATGCATAGGTCATGACTTACACCACACACTGGTCGAATGTTTTCTTCTTTAGATAAAGTGGCATTTTAGATTTGAATATGATTGGGTTTCTTTCAAAAGTACTCCATGCTAACTTAATTTTCCCGTTGATTACTGGTAGTTGAAATCCTGAACTGTGTATTAGTTGTTCCAAATATATGTTTGTATTCTTCTATTTCCAGTAAAAGAAAAATAACTGACACAGTGGGGTTTCGACTGTACCAAAACAATCTGTTATTCAATTAAAACGTGTCATACAGACATCGCGAATAAATACCATAAAAAATCCCTGGCTAATGTATTCAATCAGCCTGTTTACTGTTGCTCTAATTAAAACAGAATCGGTTCTATGGCATCAGGTCGTAACCGATACCCTTGTAATTGAATTCCAGAATCTGTGGCTAACCTTCTTGGCTTCGCTATTTCGATTTAATGTTGTTTTTGGCAGCGAGCCAGTTGTGTCCCACCAGCTCGGTGCACAAGTTCATTTTTCAACGACAGCCAAGACCGCTTTTATAAATGGGTCGTTATCGTCGAGGTTTAGAGCCATTTCGCAGATAGAATATTGGTTTTGACGATGCGATATTGTAGGAAAGAAATCGTATATTCAAGTATTACTCAATTTCATATTTAAAACTGATTTAGGGTTTCATAAAAGACAACCGTTATAATAGTATATTGTTTTATTTATTAGGAGTAAAAATAATACTTTTCATGGCGAGGCACAAAAAGTTATTAGCCGACCATACCAACAGGTATGGTAGGCTATTAAGATTGGTAAAAACATCAAAAATCTTTTAACATCAAAATCAGTCAAAGTCGCAGTTTTTGAGATATTCCGTGTTTCCGTAGTCCGTTTTTGAGAAAATCCGTGTGAAGAACTCCAAACTCCCATCGGACGCGACCCCAGGTGGCGGATAGGGGAAATAACCGCGAACCAAAATTGGAAAAAATCCTTTACTTTGAAACTAAAAGAACTGCCTACTAACTTTTTATAAACATATTTTAGTATGGGCGGCTATACGTGCCTCCCGGCGCCAATTTTTTTTACTCCTAATAAATACTGATATACTCTCACTTCACTGAGTCGGCAAGTATAATATAAAATAGAGAAAAATGACAAGGACACAAAAAATAATGTTTTACAAACATGTGGTACATACATCTTTAAATGTAGACAATTTACAATAAAAGTAAATGTACTAAATTCCAACGAGTTCCTGGAAATAGTCTCGTTACATTGAGATATTTAGAACAAAGATACCCCACATTAAATCGTGTTAACACACTAAACACGTGCAATCATTATCTAAACCATTCTAAAACTCAATTTTCTGATACCGCTAAAACGATGTTGATTTCAGATTACTGCAAACCACAATATATATTTTCGTGTGTGAGTATGTGTGTGAATAACGGTTAAACCACAACAACAATAAATAAATACCTCACGTAAATATAATAACAACAGTAGTTTGTTTTTATTATTCAATAAAACTAGTTTTTTTCAAGATTTGTTTCATTTTATTGTGCGCGCATACTGTGTTTGAATTTGTTCTATTTAAGCATAATATATGAGTTCATGCAGCATGAAGTTCCTGCAAAATAAGGTACTTCCTCCATAATCTAATAAATATTTAAATATTAAAAAATAATTAATCTAGCCAATGATTTAAGAATCCTTCAGTATTAATATCAATATAGATACCGGTAATACAGCAATCAAGAAAAAGGCTTATAAAGTTAACTAAGAAGATAAAAATGAAGGATAGTTATGTAAGATAGGGTATTCATACTCGATTCAAAAAACATCAAAACAACATACTAGCTCCCTACTACTGAATTAAAGCCAAAAATTATGCCCAGCTATTATACAAATTTACAAACTGTGATTGCTCTTTGTATGATATTTTCTTACACTTGTTGTATTGTCTTTTTCTGTAACTCAAGATTTTTAAAAGCGATTCTTGGTTGTCAATAAATCATGAGAGATAAGCGGAGCAAAAAGTTTGAGACAATGATATAGAGAAAATAAATAATAAAACTAGATAATGTTGAGTATAACCAAAGGTATAACGGACTAAATACAGCCACCAATAAAGCGGATCACAAAATAAACTTAGCAAAAACTAAAGTAATATACAACGAACTAGTGAACAAAAAATACAATATCTAAAAAATAACACAACACTGAAAATAGTAGAAGAATACATATATATTTGGGACAACTAATACACAGCTCGGGATCTATACTAGCAGAAATCAACAGAAGAATTAAGTTCATGGAGTGCTTACGGAAGAAAATCAATCATATTCATTTAATCGAGTCAATACACATCAAAGATGTGGACGCCACTGTAGCCAGTCGACTTATTCCCTACCCGCCAAATTCAAAAGTTTTTGGACCTGTTTACAATTGCCCCTGTTTACCATTACCCCAACTAGCCCTACTATCAGTGATGACCTATACATGCGAAACTTGGACATTTAAAACGGACATTGGGAATGACTAAGAGTGACCGTAGAAGAATAGAGTGGATACGACATACATATTGGTGAATACATATACAAAAGACCCAGGTAACAGATGTCATCGACAGAGTCAAATCCCTCAAGTGGCAATGGGCAGGACACTAGGCAAGAAGGAAGGACAACAGATGGACAACAAAAATTACAGCATGGAACCTACAAGGAATTAAGAGATTACAGTTGAGGGTTGGAACCTTTGGTGTTACACAGCAAAATAAAAACACTAAATTACCACAATACACCAAAACACT